ATTTCGGGTAAGTTTTGAAAATTTTAATTACTAAATTTTAATTTAAGTATTTTTATTTTCACTGCAATTGTAAATTATTCAATTTGAAATTTATATTATTGTACGAATTAAATTTTTTTTTTTTTTGCTGATTACTTTTTTAAAGAATTCGCGAAAAAAAAAATTGAAACTAGGTCGTGGAGAAGCGCGCTAAAACGGCTAATTTTCCTTTTAGAATGAGTTATTTATTTCTTTCAACTCATTTTCACGAGTTGAACTACTGCACTAGGTTCTCTAAAGGTAGAAGGAAGAGTAATGTAATATTCACGAGAGGGTCAGTACGCTTGAAGCGAACTTGTTCGACATAGTAGAGAGACGAGAGACCCCCGCTGGCCGGATAATACTTTGAAAATATTTAACTTCACCCCTTTTGCAGATGAAAGTGAATTATTAAATAAATTTCAAGCTACATGCTTTGTCACTTCTATTTATTAATTTCAAAAGACTTACAAAATAGTATATTCTGTCTATAATTTTTTTTCTTCTCATATATATATATATATAGAAACGGGAAAAAATTTTTATCAAATGTTTGCATTTCAACACTGATTTTTATATTCCATCGTCGTCAAATTATTATTTGCCTTCCAGCTTGAAATCAAAGGTCGTATTTTTATTCCCGCGCGCGGAATATATGAGAGAATTTCATCTCGTAGAAAGTGACATTTATTTTTCTCCCCTAACGTTTATTTTTTTGTTTGATGAGTGACGGGAAGGATTTTCAAAAATAAAATCCTTTTTAAATTTTTTTTTACGTAGGATCAGTGACTGAATAATGTAAAATTGTCAAAATGATTCTTTATATATATATATATTAGGGGGGCTCTGCCCCAACACCCCTGTTTTAATCATTTTTTTTTAATTTTCCATTGATCTTATTTTTCCAAATGAACCACCTATTTCAAAGAATTATTATTAAAAATTCATTGAAATTTGAATAAATATTATTAAAATTAAAATTATTAAATTTGAATTAATAAATTAATTAAATTAATAATAAATACATAATTAAATAAATTAAAATCGACATTAAGAAATTATTTTTAAAAATAATTTCAATGAAATTGACTAAAAACCAATAAATTATTAAAAAGTCTTGAAACGAACATAACCTTTAAATTCAAGTCATTTTTAGCGGAAACTCCACCTCCACTTGCGGCTATATTGAAAGTCTTGAAATTTACATAAACTCAAAATTTATGTCATTTTTGGCGGGAAATACGGAGAGAGAGATAAGGGAAGGGGGAAGAACTTACTGCTTTATTCAGAGTTCTAAAACAAACATAACCTCAAAATTTAGATCATTTTTGGCGGGGGAGGGAATTGCGGCTATATTCAGAGTCTTGAAACGAAGATAACCTCAAAATTTAGGTCATTTCTGGCAGGGGATGGGACTTGCGGCTATATTCAGAGTCTTGAAACGAACATAATCTCAAAATTTAGGCCATTTTGGTTGAGGAGGGGAAATGAGAGGAGGGGGGCTTGCGGCTATATTCAGAGCCTTGAAACGAACACAACCTCAAAATTTAGGTCATTTTTGTCGGAGGAGAGGAAATGAGAGGAGGGAGGGGGGACTTGCGGCTATATTCAGAGCCTTGAAACGAACATATCCTTAAAATTTAGGTCATTTCTGGCGGGGGAGAGGAGGGGACTTGCGGTTATATTCAGAGTCTTGAAACGAACATAAACTTAAAATTTAGGAGGGGGGACTCCCTCTCCCTCCTAGGTCAAAATTTCTGAAACAGTTGCGGCGGCTGCGGAGAAATCTTTTTATAATATAGAAAGATATATATATAGTTGATGTTAAATTGTACAATGAGAATATGTTAATAGTAAAATAGATAAATATTGAGATTGCTCTTTGAAGTTTATGGAGAGACAGTTTGAGGGAAATTGCAAGGAAGCACTTTCATTAAGAATTGAAAGCCAGAGCTTCGATCTCTGTTACTTTTGTCTTTGAGTTAAGAATCTCATATAAAGGGATTTACTTACTGTTGGAAAGCGGTACTGCAGAATGAATAATGCCTCAACTTTCAAAGAGAGAGAGAGAGAGAGAGAGAGAGAAATTCCTTTTACTTTTTTTTCCACTCCCAAAAACTAAAACATGTCTGACGCTTACTACTTTTTTTTTCTTTTTTTGCTAAAACTTAACAATTTTAAACAAAAATCTTGTTTCCTGTTTGATTTCATTTTATTCGAAAGCGAGATGGAAATTTATTTCTTTTTCTCACAAAAAACTTTTCGTTCGATCAATCGTAAAATTTGTAACTTGAAACTTTAGAAAGGGAGAGAGAGAGAAATTAGTTCTCCTTTTATTTATCTCTAAAAAAATGTATTCTAAAAGTAAAAATATTTGTATTTTTTGTACAAAATTTCTTTTTTAACATAAAAAGTATATTATTATTTTTTTTTAAAAAGTATAGAAATTGTAAATTGATTCTAAAAAGTGAAGAAAAAATTGTATATATCCGAATAGAAATAGTATATTATTATTTCTCATAAAATGCATTTCGCGAAAAATAAATTTGTGATATATAAAACAGATTTCGATACTCTCTCAGAGGACACGAAGCTTTGAAAATTGGTACCTCTATATAAAAGCGAAGCCTTTACGGAGTTTGTTTTATGTCTTGCAAGCGATACAATCAAAGCGACGCGTACTGTAGATAGAGGAAGAAAAAAAAAGAAAAATAGAAATGAAATTTAGTTTCTCTCAAAAGAATACTGTTTGCTTATGAAACAATCAGTTTATATATATATATATATACTAAAGAAAAACTGTAAAAGCATGAAATTTTTACAGAAAAACTTGTTTTAAAAATCCCGGCATAATATTAACTATTAGGAGAATAAATTTTTTTTTTTAGAAAAAAAAAGTTTACAAACTAACAAAAAGTAATAGAAAGTTTTCAATATTCTTTTAAAGTAACAACTAAGAAATTGCAAATAACATTTCATTTCTACGATAGTAAAAAAAAAATTACTACCGTTATAGAAAAGTTAAAACGTTTATTTTTTAATATAAAATCGTTTTTAAAATTATATTTCGAATTTTTATATATTGAAAATTAAATTGGAAGAATAATTTTTCCTGTAATGTAAATTATTAAAAGGGAAAAATTTTTTTATTTTTTTTTTTCAATGTTAATAGAAGTTTCAAAAAATTGATGTATTGCAAATTCAGAAGAAATATTTTGCAGTCGGAGAGTAAAAATGAAGGCGGAGAAATTTTTACAAATGTCAGTAGCAAGGGCGCTGGACCATGACTAGTAAGGGAAAAATAAACAGTTTTATTCATAACAGCCAGACGCAAATGGCTCTCTCTCTCTCCCTCCTGAAACGTTCTTCAGTCGACTTTAGACGGAAGTCTGGATCTTATTTTTCCGGAAAAGGCAAGACCGACGACTCCTTTCGTCACTGGTCTTTTTAAAAAGTTGCGTTCAACTATGTTTCCTTTGTGCTCCTTCCTCACTACCTTGTGCTTATGCTCTTGTGGATTCACATATGAATTTTAGAATGACTTTCAAAGCTAAAACTTTCTATTTTATTTTCACTGATGTTGTCTTTGTCTTTTTTTTCTATTTTTTATTATTTCATATTTATTTTTTCATCAATTTTATTAATATTTATTATACTTACTTTATTAAAAATATTTTTTTTATTTTATATATATTTTAAATATATTAAAAAAAAATTATTAAATTTTTTTTAATTATAAAAATATTTTTAAAGGTATTTTTAAATGAAAAAATATTAATTTTTAAAGTAATTTAAACTTGCCAAGATTATAAAATATATCCTTGCTATATTATGATATTTTTCAAACGATGTGTTTACATTTAGAAATAAACAAAAGGTGATTGCCTTCAATCCTATAGATTATGACCAGGTATATTGACACGCCTATTTTTCTTAATTTATCAGTTGTAAATCGGGATTCGACCTGTTTAAACGTGTTCATTTCTCGCAGTGCGTATAAAAAAAGTGTTAACAAAAATTATTAAAATAGTAATAATACAAAATCAAAATATATTTAAAAAAAATTAAAATTATTTCTGAAAATTAAAAATAGTTTGTTACTTCTATTTTTTAATTTAAAACTTAACCTCTGCTCGAAATGTTTTTAATTCGCGATTTTCTAATTTGAAACTTATCCTCGGGAGTGTAGGAAAATTTTTTTTAACTTGCAATCGTTATTTTATTTTTTAAATTAAAATTCTTCCTTTTAGTTTTTCTATTTTGATTTTTACAGTTTTCTATAGTGGCTATTTAATAAAGAACAAGTGTATTTGTTCTGGCATTTAACATCTATGGGATTGGAGGTCCAACACAATTTTAAGGTATTGTTTATATATTTTTTTATTATCATTTTTCTACATTCTCAATATTTAGGGTATTATTTTTTTGGTAAAGAAATTCTTAACGAAAAATAATAAAAAATTAAAAACAGGTTCTCAGTCGATATTTTCTTCGTTAAATAAGTTTTTAGGTCGAAGTTGTTTTTTTTTTTTTTAATATTTTCTCACTAAAAAGAAGATTTTTAAAGTGTACATAGCTGTTAGGAACATGAAAATATGTGTTGTTTATGACATGAAAAAAATACCATACTGGCATATGTCCACGTCATTTTATTGAACTCTTGGAGGCACTTATACGCATAAAACTTGCAAATTACCTCCGGCCCTTTTCTACTTTCTTTCATAGTTTTTCCGCTTAAAAATTTTACGATATTTTAACGACTTACACAAAAGATGCGTTTGTTCATTTTCAGCTATATTTGAGAAGCGTTGCACAAAAAATATATATATATATTTTTTTTTTTGCAACAAAGCCTTTTGTATTCTACATTATTTTGAAATTTTTTTTTGAAAATTACATTTATCACAGTTAACTTGAAGGTATCAAATTGATACCAAAATCAATGTGGTAATTTATGGAAAAAGTTGACATTTTTTTTTTACCTGACTCGTTGTGAATGGCTCAAATTCAGTCTCAGTGTAAGCCACTTCTGTGCCTCCTTCGTATGTACTATTGTCACTAATAGCAAAGCCCAAAAGACATATCTAAAACAGAAAAAGAATATTACATATTAATTTTTAATATACTTTTTTAAAATTTTTTAATTAATTTACGTAGGAGAACAAAAGAATTCAAAATATTTGCCAAGCTTAGAGTATTTTTTCTTTTTTGAACAAAAAAAAGTAGGAAAACTCATTTATATATTTGCTCATTTTTCTCGCGCGGGGTAAAAGTAGAAAAACTATTTTCAAGATACATACAAACCAAAGTGTTGTATTTGCGAATGCTATCACGCTTTCTTGAGAAGCACGTACAAAGCGGATAAAAGAAAAAGTGCTCTAATTTAATTTTATGGCCACGAAACTCCTCTCCAAAAGCAGACATTTCAGCTCGAGAGACAAAACCTTTCCAAAATATACACTCGAGTTGATTTCAACTTTTGTGTTTTTGCTGCATTGGATTTTGTACTCTCAGAAAAATGTTTACTGAAAATGGATAAATATTTACAATCTCTAAGACGAATTTTCATTTTTACTCGTTGTAAAAGAAAAAACTTCCTTTCAAGTTGAATGAAAATATTTTCTATTTTTAAATTGCAGAAGATTTAAAGAATTTTTAAATTGACAAAAACATCAATTTTCTTTCACGTGGTAAATCCATCAGTAACTAATTAATTGATTAATTAAACATTAGTAATTTATAATATCTTCCGTCTTTGATCAAAAAAAAATTTCTATATAATTAAATTTTGTATGAAAATTAGTTTATTAAAATAAAAAGTTATTGCATAATTTGTTGTTTAAAAAAGAGTTATTCTATATTAAATGCCCCGTATCAGCAATAAAGTTTCTCTAAAGATGCTCGAGGCAATCTTTATATAAAATGTATGAGAAAAAAATTTACATATTTTCCGTTAATGAAGATAGAAAAAAAATATTTTCTTTCAAATTCATTTTTCATATTTTCTCAATGGAAAATGTGCTTGTTTATACAGAGCATAAATTAGAAATTAAATTAACTTATAAAAACAATTTTTTTCTATATGGAAAAAATTTTCGTTCATTACTATTAGAAAAATAATATTTTTTTATATTTTTTAAAATATATACAATATACTTTCATATAATATGTATATAGAAAAATATTTTCATTTTCTCTCGTTTAGATCCTTGGCCTTAATTGTTTCGCAAAAGAGAGAAAATCGTTGAGCATTAAAGGTGGAGCGTTTGAATCGTAACGACAAAGTACTTTTACCCCCGTTATTTCTCTTTGCTGCTAGCATCGACATTTGCTCCGAACAAAATTGAGGCAAAAAAAAAAAAACATAAATAAATAAAAGTAGCCAAAGTAAAAGCGACCGCTTTTAAACACGAATGATTTCTTGAGCGTCTTAAAGTAATGCAAAGGTGGAATTTAATAAAACGAATAATAATTTTCAGAATTAATTCCGTGTTGAAATTATTTGCAAACATTAAATTTGAGGCAATTTCCAAATGCATTAAATAAAAAATTTATTTATTCTGAATTTTTGATTCGTATTGAAAAATAAAATCGGTTTTCTATAATATTTATAATTTTATTTTTTATCTAAAATTTAATTATCTAAAAATAGAATATAGAAAAATAATGTAAAATTTTCAATTTCTTGTTTTTTGATTTGATGGAGAAAAAAAATCTCTAAGACCTTTTTTTTCTTGATTTTTTTTCTTCTCAAATCGTAAAACAAATTAGGACAACAATCGCTCCTTTGCGTTCTTTTTAAACGACTGCGAAGAAATTCCAGGTGGAAATTTTTACGAGAATCGCACGACGTAAAGAACAATGTGAAAAACAAAACAAGCATCAGGGGAATTATTTTCTTGTAAAGATGAGAAATGTGCCCTCTTTGCTCTATCTCTTTTTTTTCTCTCTCCCTCTCTCTCACACATACATATACATCATATCAGTAAATTCTTGAGTTCACCTTTTCTAGCACCTCTAGTTAACCCATGCCGTCGATATGCGTTATTTCAGGCACGTTTTTCCCCCGAAAGAACGTCCGGAGAATATTTTTCGATTTAATCGCAATTCGCCCTCCCAAGTTGTGTGTGTGTGTGTAGCAACGGTCTGTCGAAAGAAACTGGATTTTCTCCACCGTTCAAATATGTCGAATCAAATCGTTTCCATTCCCTGATATTTCGAGACTTTCTGCAAATGCCACCTTGAGTCCGAGATATTTTTTTTTGTTATATCTGAAGTATTCTTTATGACAAAAACAGATCCTTTCTTGTAAAGTAGAACAAGACGTTCTTAGGGATTTTTTTATTAAAAAGAAGAAACATATTTTTTTCCTCTTAAGTAGTAAAAAAAATGGACAGTGCGAATAAAATTATCAGTTGCAAATCGGGATTCGACCTGTTTAAACGTGTTCATTTCTGATAGTGCGTATAAAAAAATGTTTACAAAAATTATTAAAATAGAAAAATAAAATAAAAATTATTAAAATATTTATAACAAAACAAATCCTTCCTTGTAAAGTAGAACAAGACGTTCTTAGGGATTTTTTTATTAAAAGGAAAAAAAATATTTTTTTTCCTCTTAAGTGGTAAAATAATGGACAGTGCGAATAAAATTATCAATTGCAAATCAATATTCGACCTGTTTAAACGTGTTCATTGCTCATAGTGCCTATAAAAAAATGTTTACAAAAATTTAAAAAATAGAAAAATAAAATAAAAATTATTAAAATATATTCTTTATGAAAAAACAGATCCTTTTTTGTAAAGTAGAACAAGACATTCTTAGGGACTTTTTATTAAAAAGTAAAAAAATATTTTTTTTGTCCTAAGTAGTAAGAGTCTGTTTTGGTTAGACAAGAAGTTTTTTTGAATGCGTAATTTTAATATCAGTAGTAAATTTATTTATTTTATTTTTGTAGTCTATTTACGAACTCTCGTAAATCTTTGCAATTAGTAGTAAAGTCAATCCAATTTAAATCAACGTAAACAATAATTAAATTAATAAAAATAATATTAATTATAAAATTAATTTGAATTAAAATTTTATTTACAGTAAAATTTAATTTCAAAATTTCATACTTCTTTTTTTCTATTTTTGAAACAAAAACTTAGTTAACTTTTTTTTGTTTGCGACTTTCATTAAAGTAATAATAATTTAAGTTGACGTTTAGTAGAAAAAATGAGGGTATAAGAAAAAGTGTAATCGTTACTTGAATTTCGTTTAACAATATGAGCTCAAGGAAAAAAGAAACTAAGATTTTTATCATTGTTGCACTCATATCGTGTTTCTTACTTTTTTCGCCCCCCCTTTTTTCCAACCTTTCCTCGAGGGTGACATTTTACTATATGACCTTCGTGGTATGAAGTGGCTGACTAAGATGAAACAGAAATGAGATCAACACTTTCTGCTGAGGTCACCCATATTTCTTTTTTTTTTTTTTAAACTTATTTATTTTAGAATTAATATAATAAAAAAAAATGATCGTTTTCTTTCGTGACTTGAATTATCACCAAATTGTAGGTAAATAAAAATATACAATTATTTTTTTGTAACTCTTTTTTTTATCTTTATAAAAATTATTTACTTTTATAATTTTAATTTTTTAATATCTTGAAATTGATATGAGTTTTGAAAAAGTGGAAAGCAATTATTTATTGACCTACATTTTTGTTCGGATAAATAACATCAGGATGTAGGAAACTTGGGTTATTTTTAAGGTATATATGGAGAGATTTTGAAATTATTTCGAAAGAAAGCAAAGCGATTTACTCTCGTTTCAGGATCAGATATTTGATAAAAGATATGGAAGGCGTTGAGCACCATATTGCTTTCAAATTGGTTTTCGATTTGAACGTGTGATAAGCCAGCTTACCACCTAAAAAGAAATCGCATCTCTCTTTCCACTATCTTCAGTTATTAGAAGTTCTTCTCTCTCTCTCTGGAATCTTTTCAGTAATGCCCCCCTCCGTCCCCTAATCTTGTAGATTAAGCTATAAAAGTATCCATCGATGTCAATTTCAACGATTTAAGTTTTTTTTTTAATTGATTTTCATAAAAAATGTTTAAAAAATCACTATTTTTCATTAATTTTATTTTATTTGTACCAAATAATATAAATTATTTATTATTATATTTTCTCTTTGGAAATTAATAAACTTTTTGAAAATTAAATAAATAGATTTCAATAATTTAAAAGAATTTCAATTTTAAAAAAATGTTTTTAAAGAAAAAATGTGAAAGAATCATTTCTGTAGGTTAATTTGGACATTATAGGAATTTTTTTTTTTCAAAATAAGGAAGGATGCATTATTTTACTTGCCTTACCGCAAAACTTCTTCTTCTTCTTCTTTTTTTTTTGTCTTCTTTTTAAGCTTAATTTTAATTAACAACCGTGCTCGTTTCCACGGCGATTAGGGTCGTTCCAGACTTAAAGCTAGAGTCCTCTTTTAAGATAACACCTACTTTGTTGCAAGAGTTTGCGAATATACGTTAACCAACTACTTGTTAAATGCGTTACCTTCCTAAGGAAACTTATTTTTCCTTGAAAAGAAATTATATATCTAAATTTGTTCCATGTTTTTTTTTTGCCATTTTTTTACGAAAAGACAAAAATTATGACAAATTTTTAATTACACAGTTAATTAAACGGTAAAATTAATTATCAGGTGGAAAAATAATTTGCATTTTTATTTATTGAAATATAAATAATATTATATTTATATATAAATAAATAATTATTTTTTAATGTAAATAAATATTTTTATAAATAATTATTTTTAAATATAAATAAATAATTATATAAATAATTTGTTATTTTTATATATAAAAATAAATTATGATTTTTATATATAATTTCTTTTTTTATATATTCGTTGAACTCGTGCAATTGTAGTTTTTTTTTTTTTTTGCTTTTTGGTGCACGAAAGGCAGTGATTGCGGTTAAATTAAGACTCTCGAACAAGTTGGTGAATCCTATCGTTGATGAAATCTCTCTAGGTGGTCCGTGACTATATAGAAACATCTATATCATGCTCGATGCATTTAA